GTCCAGTCCAGTCCAGTCCAGTCCAGTCCAGTCCAGTCCAGTCCAGTCCAGTCCAGTCCAGTCCAGTCCAGTCCATTCCAGTCCACGACATACCATATGCCTGTTTACGGGATGGTGTTTGCGGTTCTCTGGTCAAATGATGAAGGAGAAACAGTACACAAAATTATTTAATTAGACAGTAGCAAAAACGTTTATCAAACGTATTTTCTTTAAGTTTAGATAAATTCATATGGACAACGTTGAAAATGTGCAAAACAATTGAAAAGCAGTGCTAAAATTTGAGAGGTTCTCTTTCAGCAATTGTTTGTTATTAATATTCACCGAGCGATGCTTAAGCGAAAAACCTGTGCACGTCTTTCCGTCTCTAAAAGCGAAATAGAACATACACAGTCCAGCGAATTTTGCTTGGGGGAATAGATAAAAAAATTAGGGAATTAGAAGGGATTCTTATGGTAATTTGTAATTTTAGCGAAATTTTGGCTGAGGTTACATAAACAAAAAGCGCTTCTTACCTTCTATTTGCGTAAACGTGTCCTAAAGTGATCACTAAACAGTACTAATAAGAACACGAAACTTTCTTCTTCTCATTTTCGTTTCAAGGCAATTTCCTCGCAAGTCGATCCTCTACTTCATTCGATCCAAATCTAACAAAAATTTCCGCAGCAAAAGTTTCAACTTCACCGCCAAAATGTTGATGTGCAAAAAAGTAACAGGACTGCATCATGTCCAAATATGGTATTAGCGATCCGCGTTTAAGTCAGCGGCAGACGGGCATTTTGCGGGAAAAGTATCTGCCGGTGAGACACATAGGATAAGCCGATAGTAATTCTCGAGTTTATCGATAAGTTTACAATAAACTTTAATAAGAAAGAACAAGATATCCTATTTTAAATTAATAATGATAATAATAATAATAATAATAATAATAATAATAATAATAATAACAATAACTACAGAGGATATCACCAGCTAACATTAAGTTAATTAGGGTGGTCCTCTATTAAAAAAATATGTTTTTATAAATCAATGAATTGATAAGAAATAATTTACTATTATATTTATATTTGGTCGTCTATGAAACCGCTCTGATCTTGTCCACCTGCGCAGTCCAAACATTTTTTAGTCAGTAATTCTTCCTCTCCCAAGATCTCATAATGAATTCTCCTCGCGATGCAATTTTTATGATATTGGTTCGGAGAATCTGTTATTGGATTATCTAGGAATCTCCCAATATTAAATACCTCTTTATCCTCATTACTTGTCTCCTTGATATTGTTTTGATTTTGTAACAGAGAAATTCCTTCTTGGTCTTCGTCTAATGAGTTGATTTTATTCAAGTTTTTGCTACGATCGTTACGAAGATGATTAATTTGAGTAACTAATTAAAGCACCTATAACAAGAATTTTTTTTCTTTATTTTGCGTATTTGTTTAACTTGTCATATGTACAGACATAAGTACAGCATCGCCACATGACCCATTTTTCTCACTGGCAAATAACTGACCTCAGTGTTGTATATGAATATTGTGTATGCATCGATTTTATCACAGCACTTGGATTCGCTTTTATCTAATTCATTAATATTTGTGTTTCACAAATTATCTCGTTACAGTGCTGATATCATCTGCTATTGTCGCTACTTTTAGTTTCTTGAGGGCAGGGGGGAATTCATTGCTCGTGAGATGAATTTGCGGAAACCTAGGTTGGGGGAATACACGTCCCCTTCGAGCTTGTTTTTATGCCAGTACCCTCCTGAGGTTCTGCACTGTTAAGTCGGCAGAATATCGGTCTTAATTCGGATATAACAACAAAGTTGAAATGGTAAATTGGCCACCGTAACGATTACAAAAGCTCACGTTTCGAGCGTTAGCCTTTCGTCGTCGCTCCGACGAAGGGCTAACGCTCCTTCGCCCCTTCGTCGGAGGAAGCCCTCCGACGAAGGGGCGGAGGGCTTCCTAAATAGCGTTAGCCCCTTCGCCCCGAAGGGCTAACGCTATTCGCCCCGAAAGGCTAACGCTATTCGCCCCTTCGTCGCTCCGACGAAGGGCTGACGCTCGAAACGTGAGCTTTTGTAATCGTTACGGTGGCCAATTTACCATTTCAACTTTGTTGATATATCCAAATTATTTCTTTAGAAACTATCAGCCTTTATTCAGAATATCGGTCAGCTTAGGAAAGGATCTTAACCTTGACCTTTACTGCAAGGGATGTATTTCTGTTTTTAAAATACAATGTTCGTTTTGGCCGCGCACTAAATGCGGACACTTTTTGGCCACCAAGTCGTACTTTCAACGCACAAAGAAAAAAAAAAAAAGGTCAAGGAGAACTCGATCGGCGCTGAGGTCGACTATTTCAAAGTTTAGATACAGCTATTTACCAGAAACGCCAAAACATTTCATGGGCACGTATATAAAACATGGCCACTGATTGAACGTTATCAAAAAGTCAAAACACTTTCAGAACAAACTGAAATCGAAGTTGATCCTTGCAGTGTGTGGCTTACCTGTAAGAAAAAAAGTTGAAATTTACTCTCGATTTCAGGCAAGTTCCCCACACCTTTGTGGGTTGAGTATTGTACCAGTTCCAGCTATTTTTTTGTTGCTTTATTTTTTTCCTTTTTTGGACTTTGAGTGGATTTCTCTCTTTTTTGTCATATCCAAAGCTTAAGAATAGTCTTGGATGTCTTTTTATACTGGTCTTTTCACTTTGGGACATTAGCGAACCTTTTTTTTATCACTTATTGGCCAGTTTACTCATTTCCTTTAAATTTACGACAAGCATGGGAACGCCACTGAATTTGAACATTATTAAACTCCAAGTGGCAGCAGTCTCGTAATCTCATCTTCTTAAGAGTCGAAACTCTTTTATATCAAATGTATTTTCTTTTGATCATTACAGTATGTATTCAACTTGTTACATATAAACTTAAAATTTGTTCTCCATATCAAGGCCAGTTTCCTAAGTAAAATAATGTCAGCCAAAGACGTCTCTATATAGATCCTAAAAACATAATGTAGCTCGAGCGAAAGAAACCATTAAAGTCAGCGCTTTAAATTGAGCCAAGAATTTTATAGGAAATTTTTCTCATCTAAAATTGTCTTATTTCGGATAAATCATCATGTTTGTGTCTAAGCTAAATATTTTCTTATGTTCGAATCATTTAGATGTATCAAATCTAAGCTTACTATTGCCTAGAGGGAACAGCTGCCAAACACTTTTTATTACTATACAATTTTTAGTGAAAGTATGCCCTCATCAGTTAACAGATATTTTCACTGAAAAAAAAATAACAACAACAAGTGATGTTTGTAGAAAATAACTGAGACAGTATGCTAATGTACTCTAACCGACTGAAAAGACATAAGGGCTAAACGATAAGTTTTAACTATTAACTAATTCTAGGAAGATTCCTTTGGTATCACTTCAATAGCGTATGCCGTCCGCCATGATAAGTACACCTTCCGCCTTGGGGAGTTATGTTATCGACCTGCAAAGTGAGAAAGAGCTGAAGTAGAGTAAATACGATATAAAGTTTAAATAGAAGAACACCTAAAAAGAGTGTAAGCAAGACTTTACAGAGGGGTGGGGGTAGGGGCAGGGTGAGTTCTACACTAGCGACCCACTGGCATTGGAGGGTTTTCCAGGATGTAATAATTTTTTTTTCTAAACAAGTGAAGGGGGAGAGAGGGGGGAAGTGGAGAGGGGGTCTTGCATCAACGTCGTATGTCAGTTGAGGGAATGCGGAAAGTGCCTGGTTTTTCTAAAATAGAAAAAAATCTTTTTTTTTCTGCAATGAGGGCAGGGAAGTGGGGGGCATTCCCGTGCACCTCGAGACCTTAATGGCAACTTCCTCGTCAATTCAATTGAATGCAGGGTTGGACAAACATCAAATATATATATATATATAACAACAACGAATAAAACAATAACAGACGATAAACGATGGATAAAATTGAAAAGGAGTACAAAAGAAGAATATGAAAAACTTGAGGCTAATTTGTTCAGGATCAGCGAAAATTCGGATGAGTTCTTCCTTCAAGGCTCCGCCTTTCAAATCAGGGATTGATTGCTTCTCATATTGAAATAATAGCACACGTTCAGATACCCACTCCTTCACTGTTGATTTAGCTGTTGTGATTATGTTCGTGAGATTCTCCGTCAGCGATCGCAATTAAAACCAAAAGTGCGATCACAACACCCACTGAAACTACAACCGTAAAGGCGAACAGAAGTTTGCGTTGACCCACTGACTGCAAAAAGAAAAAACAGTAACCACACAAGTAAGACATGACCCGAAAGGAAACATCAATGGAGAGTATTACCTCACTTGTATACAAAGCTTGGACTGGTAGCAAAAAAAGAAAATATGAAATTGAGAATTTCTTCTTGATGAGTTCACCAAGAACGCATTTTACATCACCCAAGCCGCTGATCATTATGCACTGACGTTATAAACCCTTTCACACCCAAAACCTCCTTATTAAGTCTCCTTACTGTTCGCCATACAATTCTTATGATGTTAGTTTGGAAAATTAAGTATTGGATCAATTAATAAACCCCAAATTGATATTTTTCTTAATTCTCATCTCTTGTTTACTTGATATTGTATTGATATTGTAAGGAGAACTTCTGTCTTGGTCACTCATGGTAGTTAAAGGGGTAAAGCATGAAAGCGTCCAAACTCGTTATTACTTATAATCGCTCAAGATATCACTTCACTAAATAACCAGGAATGAAAAATCGCCTTGCACAAAATTTGCCGCGATAAACTACTTGTTTCTTCCTCAGGACCAAAGTTAAGCACAACAAAAGATGTAACGGGACAAAGGTTATTCAATGAGTTTTCATACCGGAATATCAGGGGGCTGCAATTCAATATCTCCATCTGTCAATAAAAAAATAGATAAAATACGAAATGAGTCACGTGAGTGGCTCATATGGAGCTGACAAACCAAAAGTATTGTATACGACCGACCTCGATCAAGTCTTGGTGTGCATTTAGTAAGTTTACATTTGTGGCACATAGGCACTGTTTGGTAGAGTGATGGAAACAGTCTACAGTCACTCAATCACATATGAGCGATTCAGAGAATCACTCGAAGACGGCCGGAACGAATGGTAAAGTTTACTAAAAGAATGTGACTATTTTTATGCTTTCAATACTCAGCCTCCTTGGTCCATAAGTAGTCACCTTCTTTCCCTCCTACTGGTTGAACGTTGAAAGATGCTCCACCGCGTGCCGACGTCAAAGTATCGTAAATATCGTAAGCAACCACTAGAATCAAAGCCACACAGTAGGCAATCATGAAGTAGAGGGCGGGGTCACCCAGCCTTGAGTCAGGAAGGCGAAGACCAAAGAACACGGTCACCACTGTGAAGTTTAAAAAAGAATAAATCCAGACAAGTTATATAAAGTGGGGGTTAGTATCTAAAGAAAATGCTGAAAAGCATTCGT